ACAAAATATAAATATTAGAACAATACACAAGTGAGAATGCATGCAGGATATAAATATTTGAAACATTTGAAAAATTAGGAGCTGCAAAGAAAACTCACTCCAGTCTCAAAAGCTGGCATATACTATGCCAGAATGGTCAGTCAAGGAGGATTAAGGGTCCTTAACCTGCCATGTGCTGCACCTTAATTTATACCTAATTTCAGGCTGCATCGACACAGGCAAAGTTTCTTAAAGGTCATAGTGCCATGCATACTGCTCAAAAATCCTCAACAGCATGATAAAAAGTAAAGACATTACCCTGCCATCAAAAGTCCGCATGGTCAAAGCAATGGTATTCCCAGTAGTCACGTATGGCTGCGAGAGTTGGACTATAAGGAAGGCCGAGCGCCGAAGAATAGATTCTTTTGAACTATGGTGCTGGAGAAGACTCTTGAGAGTCCCTTGGACTGCAAGAAGATCAAATCCGTCAATCCTCAAAGAAATCCACCCTGACCGTTCCCTGGAAGGCCAGATAATGAAACTGAAGCTCAAATACTTTGGCCACCAAATGAGAAGGGAGCACTCACCGGAGAAGACCCTGATGCTGGGAAAGATTGAAGGTCAAAGAAGACGGGGACGGCAAAGGATGAGATGGTTAGACAGTGTCACAGATGCAACGAACATGAAGTTGAGCCAACTTCAGAGGACGGCGGAAGACAGGAAGGCCTGGCGTGATCTGGTCCATGGGGTCGAGAAGAGTCGGACTCGACTGTGCAACTGAACAACAACAACAACAAAACAACTGCTCAGGGCAAAACTCACACAGAAAAGAAGCCAGCTGGAAAGCAACAGAACTCTCTTAACGGGACTACATTGCTTGGTTCCTATTCCTATGTCAGTATCTGATTCCAGTAGGCCAGACATGCTCCTAACATGGGGCGAGGGATCAGTTCCCTTCAAAAGCAGTCTCACTAATGCTCAACTTCAGGGAGTGAACACCCAGCCTCCCTCTACAGGGCCTGACACGTCCGAGGGTTGTGCATGAGAGAGAAGTTGTTTGAGGCCTACCGGCTAATCCACTAGGCCTCAGCCCTAGGATCGTGACACCAGGACTAGAACATTCGAGTAATCATTTCGAAGCATTTGGGCAGTACACAAAGGGCACTTTCACGAACATTAAACTCAGTGTACATAAAAATCCAAGATGGCGATTTCCCTAGTGTGAAATGCAAAATCCACTTGCAAAGGGTCACTGAAGTGGATTGAAGTGAGATTATTTTGCGTGTGTGAAAGTGCCCTTAAGTTAGAGTTGACCTGTGGGGGGAGCATTCAGGCAGGTGCTGTAACCAATATAACTTTCCCCTTTGTGCAGAATAAGAAGCAAAAGGTGAGTGTGTCTGGATGACCACACTTCTGCGAACATGGGGTGTGTAGCTTAATATGCTAATGAGCTGTGCTGTCAGGGGTGTGTCCTAATAAGCAAATGAATTTCTGGGTGTGGCCTATTATGCTAATGAGTTCCTGCTGGGCTTTTTCTACAAAAAAAGCCCTGGCTGTAACCAATATAACTTTCCTCTCTGTATAGAAAGAAGTCATTACAAATAAAAAACAAGCTCCCCCCCCAAATCTGTGAACACTTTATCCAAGCCTTGGGAACCAGAAGTGGTTTGGCCCAAGCTGCAAGCATATTATCATGAGTTGGTTTGTTTAGGTCATTTCAGACATAAAGTAGAATTTTCTTCTTTCATCGTATATATAGGATGGGGTTGTGGTGATGGAACCCACGTTACAAATTTGTGCTGGGCCCAGAGAGATTATATTTGGACCCTGTCTGCAAATTAACTTGTTAAACTGTTGCTGTAGACTAAAATAATGTTCAGGATCCTGGAAATAGGTTCACCTTTTTTCCTGCTGCTGTTATTTGGCACAATTATATGATTGCATTTTTAGATGGGGTACACTTATCACTGGCCCTTCTGTCCCATGGACTGTTTTATTACTCACTTTTTCTGTAAGTGTATACAAGCCCTTTGTGCAGTCCACTGGGTTTGCTGTCATCTTTTGGGTGTGTGCTGTTTTGCTTTCTGAAATAAAATAAAGTTTTCAGCCACACTGCGTATGAGAGCTCTTGTCCTCCAGTGCAGACTGTCTTTAAGACTGTAGTGCAAATGGATCTCAGTGGTGTGCAGTTGTTACGTAACTCATAAATGCATCCAGTTTTCTGTCTCTGAGTCTGTTTTATACAAGAGGCAAAAGGAGCTGCTAAAATCTGCCTTTTGTAGTTGTGGGTTGGATCCCACCCACCCCCTGGCAGACCTCTTATGCTGTTCCTGTATAGGGGGCTTTTTGAACTGGGGGGGGGGTAGGGGTGGAGAAATACCACTCCACTGATGGAAATTCTTTCAGGCAGGGGAGATTCTGTATGGATCCAACCTCGTGGTTCCTGGAAATCAAGGTGTGTGTTTGCCGAACCATCGCTGATGTGTATTGTTTTCTTCACAGATCCTTGTAAATATTACATTGTTAAACGTATCTTTTCTGGAGGAGACCAGTCATTTGTTCTTTGCTCTGAAAGTGAGGTAATGTAAAGTTGTTCCTTCTGTAAATTGGGGGGGGGTATTCATTTCTAGGGAGCTGTTGGGGGTTACTAGTCTTTCTTTCCTCTGTGCATGATGAGAGTTTGCACTATAAAGAGTTATCCCGTATAGTGTGATTTCCCAGTTTGGTCATTCACTTTCTGCATGCAATAAAGTAATGAAGGAAGCAGTGCATGTTGAGAAAGTGCAGAAAATGAGTATCTCAGCATCCCCTGGGGTAATGACCCACCATCTCATGGGAGGAATTTGGTTCCTGGAAATAGCATACAACCTCAGTGTAAGTTGTCAAGCAGTGACAGGTTTGTTTATTTGCAGGTATTTATGAGCTGCTTTTTACACAGTTTGGAAGTGGTTAGTCCTAAATATGTTAGTCTTAAATATGGTTTTGTGTCATGTGTGAATACACTTATCCTAACATATGCTTGTCTGTGCTTTGCACCCAACCCACCCTCAGAGTCACCTGGCAACAGCAGCTCGAAACCAAAAGCAGGTGCCCCCAGAAAAGCTCAGCTCTAGCCTCTCCTTAAATCAGCCACACAGCAAGCAATTTTTCCTAACTTGCTCTCACATGACAACTAACTCCTCTCCCTTCCTGCTGCAAAGTGAAAGCAGCAGAGTCAAGGTGTGGTGTGTGTGTGTGTACACGCACACACAATCTGCTCCCATAGAGCAGAATGGGAGCTCTGTGGTTGGCTCCCAGAGCTGCCAATCAAGCTACGGACAACTGCTATGGGTGTTTCTAGGGCTCTTCACAAGTCCACCCCCAGCATTGCCTGGGAATTGATTGAATCGTTGCCAGGCTGTCTGGGGAACAAACCACTCTAACGAGCCAAATGAACCTTCATGGAAAAAAGACAGTTCGTTTTTCTATTCATGAACGACGCGACCAAATGAACCAGTTTGAAATGAACCACAAATCGACCTGGTTCGTGCTCATCCTTAGCCCTTATGCGTTACAAAATCAGCATGAATCTTCGTGCTCAATGAGACTGCATGCCAAAGAGGCAAGAAAGCATTACAGGATAAATGCAGGATAGAATTATGGGACTGTTTTGCCATGTGTCGTCATCTCTCTCTCTCTCCCTCCCTCCCTCCCTCTCCCTCCCTCTCTCTCTCTCTTCCTCTCTCCCTCTCTCTCTCTCTCTCTCTCTCTCTCTCTCTCTCTCTCTCTCTCTCTCTCAATATTGTGAACTATGTCTCCTTACAGAATTCTGTGCCTGCTGATGATTTCCGAGCCATAAATCAAAGTGACTACACCTGTTCAATTAATGATGAAACGATTGACGTGTGGAGACACAAGCTGGCGGAAAGGAACAACCCCAATTCAGTAAAGTATGTTTGTTGTTTAACTGTCCTATATTTTTAAAAGTGGGAGTGACTGAAAGTAATCGGTTGAATCCCATGGATCTGTTCTGCTAATGACGGCTGCCCTCTGCAGATGACTCCGTGGCACGTTGGCTGAGCATGCGGGGAGGGACAGAGTTCTGGCCTCTCCCCTGTCTCCATGCAGTCAGTGGGTCATCTGCACAATGAAAACATGTGGAGGAAGTGCTTGTGCATGCATCTCCTCCCCATGATTGGGGATGCTGTTTTCTTAATATCAACCAGTGATAGGGACTGAGCATACACAGGGCTCTGGGCTCAGGAGCCGGGGATCCTGCACAGACAGGGGGTGGAGCCCGTGCACTTGTTCCTGCTTTGCCTCTCCATCCATTGACTCAACATGCAGAGAGGTGGTGAGTACAAGGCAAGTACTTTCCTTTGGCCCAAGGAGCCTTCTCCTGGTCCAGCCTCTTGCCATCAGCAGAGGGCTCCTTGCTCCAGGGGAAAGTGCGCCATTAGCGGAACAGGCCCATAGGAGCCAGCCCTGTGTTACTGCCCTTCAGTGAGTGGTGTGCTGTTGAACTGTGTCTTGTGAGCATCTGCTGTGGTTCAGGTGCTTGGTTCAGACAATGCTGTTGTCCATGAGATACAGACTCTTGAAAACCTGATTCCGTAGCTGTTTCTGTATACAGAGGTGTACCTCGATGTGATAGCCATTTAATGTGTATCGTTAGATGGAAACCTAGAAATCGGTTCCCTTTTACCGTTGTGCACCCTGATGTCATCCAAGTAGCGGGCAGAGGGTGCGCTGCACTGTCTGGTTTCTAAGGCTTTGCACCTTGGGATAGATAGAATCTTTTGCACAATTCAAATAGTTGATATAATGGTCTGTTGACATTTCCTATATTGCAGCAGTTGATGGAGAACTTTCCGTGGAAACAAAATTTTGTTTTCAAAGTCTGCTAAGCAGTTGTTCAGTCTATAATTAACGCTCTGCTGTACTGAAGAATCTTTTGTTAATTTCTTAGATAGAAACAGTTGGCGGACAGATCACTTACGTGCAATGGACAGGCGGCATGCAAGGAGAACTAAACAGAGCTGTATGATTATGGCGGTGGAAAGTGCCATCGAGTCACAGCTGACTTATGGCGACCCCATAGGGTTACAAAAAAATCTGGACACACACAACTAAAACAGATAAACAAATATAAAGCCAACAGTCGTGATGGTCTGACCCGCAATCAACAGTCATAAGACTTATAAGAATTGCTGTACATGTATTGTGCTCTGAAGCATTACAATATGATACACAACTTAATAGAATTTATAAACCAAGGTACAACGTCGTCTCCGGATTATTTACCAACGTTTCAAAAAAAATGAATCTTCTTCAGGAGATATTCTGTAGTACACAAAAATGCAATTTTTAGAATATGTATAACACCAATCACAAGAAACAAGAGACAATACAATAATCTTATTGCTTATTTATTTTATTTATTTATTTAATTTCATTTATACCCCGCCCTCCCCGCATGTGCGGGCTCAGGGCGGCTTACAACCATAGAGCACAAAGTGCAATAAAAATACAATAAAACGATTTAAAACAATTTACACATGGGCCACGCCCAAGGATTCCGCGTGACTGATACCCACTCACCCTATTGCCCATACTTACTTACATAGAGGTGCCAAAGCTCTCATTTTCATAAAAGTTTGACAGCAAGTCTTAAGCATCTGCAACATAATAATTTTATCTTTGTTATGGACACATATAAGATATTTCAAAATATTTCAAATTACAACTAATCAACCTAGTAGTAACTCACATACACAATTCAGATAGGACGCTGATCTCAATTAACACGCAGTGTTTTTTTTCTGGATCCTGGGCGTCTCTCTCTGGTGTATGTTACCAGAGTGTAATTAAAGGGACCTTGCAAATGGCTAACAGGTGGTGGGTAGTGGGAGGCAGTACACTTAAAGAAAACCTCATGTAGTTTACACAAACATAATATAGGGTTGTTAAGGCAAGAGACTTTCAGAGGTAGTTTGCCATTGCCTGCCTCTGCGTCACAACCCTGGTATTCCTTGGTGGTCTCCCTTCCGAATACTCACCAGGACTTACCCTGCTTAGCTTCCAAGATCTGATGAGATCGGTCTGGGCTGGCCTATATGTCTACATGGGGCTGCCTTTGTCGCAAATCCGGAAGCTGCAGCTAGTGCAGAATGCCGCGGCCAGGCTGTTGATGGGTCTTCCTAGTAGGGACCACATCCAGCCTGTGCTGAAAGTGCTGCACTGGCTGCCAATAGCGTACCGGATTCGCTTCAAAGTGCTGGTTCTTACCTTTAAAGCCCTACATGGTCTGGGTCCAGCTTACCTAAGGGACCGCCTTTCCTCATATGTTTCCCCACGAGCACTTCGGTCTGGGACACAACATCTCCTGGCAATCCCAGGTCCCAGAGAGGCCAGGCTGGCCTCAACCAGGGCCAGGGCTTTTTCGGTGGCGGCTCCTACCTGGTGGAATGAGCTCCCGGTAGAGATCCGGGCCCTGCGGGACCTTGTACAGTTCCGCAGGGCCTGTAAGACGGAGCTTTTCCACCAGGCGTACGAGTAGGAGCCGCCACTACCACCATCATTTTGTTCCATCTTGCCTGGCCCTGGAAAAGGGAACATCTGTGTCTCCCTGAAGCAGATGACACTGAGGAACAGAGTACTAGCAATAGAGCAGTGATACACGCCATCTGTGAAATAACATCTAGAG